TGTCAGAATACTTAAAACCTGACATAGATTATTGTATAGATAAGTGAAGCAAAAGAAAATAAATGAACAAATCTTTAATTGCACACATACACGTCTAGTGATGCACAAAACTCCAAAGTCCAACCAGTTCAATTTGTGTATCCTATTCAATCATTGTATGCTTCCCAATAGTTTAGTGAAGAAAGACAGCCAACCTCTGAGGACTATTTAGCCCACAGAGGACCTGAGTCACTCTGCAGAAGTGCCTGTCTCCCATGATGGATTGCAGGTGGATCCCAGCGAAATCAGGCTTCCAAACTGGTGCCTTGAATACATACAGTTCAGATGTGGATTCAGAACTTTTTGTCAGATTTTACCTTTGCGTCCTTGCTCTTGGACCTATAGGTATGCAAACATGTAGTAGAAAAACATTGTTAGAATGCACTTAGAATGAAGTTAAGAGTCTAAGGGCAAAAGCATGTGACCAGGCCCAGCTGATTGTGTTTTAAATTACCATCTTTCAGCTGAGATGTTTTAATTCCTAGCCTATTGCAACTTTGCAAGTGGCTAAAATTCTACAAGTGTTTTCCCTGGAAAACTTGACTCATTCTTCTGAGGTTTAGAGACCTCATGGTAATTTTCCAGCATAGGCTGGACCCACACCTGTTTTACATACATTTTGTGTAACATTTTAAATGCAGGTTTGCTACCATTTTCTGTCCCTACTGATATATCTTCAACGGGTACATCTCAGACCCTTTTCTGCTAAAGACTTAGTCATGCTGTCTTTCCGGGGCTGACATGAGCATACACTCAGGCTCTTCTTGTGTTTCCAGCTGGGGAGGCCTTCGCCTATGGCATCCTTTCCTTGTCCCTGGTGTGTGACCCTGTGCTTTGTATTTCTAGTTTCAATCCACTTTTATTACTTCAGTCCTTCAGACTGTCAGTCCAGTTCATTCTGTATGGTTTTCCATCTTCACCTTTCTACTGAGGTCTTACGGCTTTGTGTCATTGGCAGATGTTGTTAGCATACTCTGAATTTTTGTATCGATGCCAGTAAAACACATTTGGTTCCAAAAACATCCTTTGAAACATCACCAGTAATCTTCTTCTTTCCAAGTAATATCACTTTTGGTCCTAATGTTGTTTTCTTCCCTTAAACCAAGTTGTGATTCTTTTATATTTATAGAGTACCTTATCCAGAATATTTTTTTTTCCTAAGTGGCATTGTATCCAATAAATATGACCATACCAGCTAGATTTCCTGTGTTCCTTTTCTTAAAATATCAGTTATCTTATAAAGAGAGATGCCAGGTTAATCTGGCATAATGACAGTCCATTTTGGGCTAAAGCTGTTATTCATTATATTCCATTTTTCATTACCTCAGTGTCTCTAGCTATGCAATGCTTCATAATTTATTTCAAATCCTTGCACAGCTCATGAGGTCAGAGCCACTTGGTTTTTTGTTGCCTGGATCATGTACATCCCTTTTTCTTAAAAGAAAAAAAAGTTAGGGTTTTTCATTTTTCAGACATTTGATTGCCAGCCTGATAGATTCATTAAAGTCTTTGTTATTAAACTGGTCTTTCATGTGCAAGTATTGTAAGTGCTCTCGAGTAGAGATTATGGGGTCTCGCCCTCCTGGTCTAGACACTTCCTTAAAAACAGTTTTATGTCTTTGTTTTGTTCTCATCTTGGATGAGTAATTTTCATTTCCACAGTCTGTATCATTAGCAACACTGCATTTGCTACTGTAGTCAACATCCCCATATTAATTTTGTTTTGGACTGTCTGTAAATTATCTTTAATCTTAACTGCTTTTTGCTGCTTTGTGAAGCCACTCTTTTGCCTGTTTTCTTTTTATTTTGATGATCAAAGTACATTTTAGTACTTGCAATTTTGCAAGATCTGACCCTGCCTAACATTTTCTGTTCTCACTTTCTCCATATATTTTCTGACATCTGACAGTTTTCCTTGCATATTAGTTTCATTTTCCACCCTACAAGCTTTCTGCATACTCCAGATGTACTCTCTGAGGTGACTGCTCATCTAGTTAGAAATGGAGCCCTTTGTTATAAAAGGTTTTTCCACATGTTTGAAGCTGGCAGTTTTTCACAGCCACAGCCACAGTCTTTTTCTTAAAGGAATTCAAGAACTTCCTTGAGTTTTCATTATTTCCCTTATTTTCTGATTTTTTTTTTTAAGTGAAATTCTGATTTATTTATGTTTAGCATTTATTCATGTTACAGCCTTTTTTAAAAAAAAATTGAATTAATGTGTCATCACTTACTCTGGGATATAGCTTTCTTTACCAACTATTTAGTAAGGTCTTGTAGCTCACTTTCCTTGTGTTCTGTGTCACATCCCCAGATACCTGGGTCTACCCCTTATTGGTAGAATTCATTTTCTGAGAAGTTACATCACCTCACAGTTTCATAGTACTATTTACTCCTTATTTACTATTTCATAATATTATTTGCTTTCTAAATAATACAGAAATTTATATACAACAAAGGGGATCCTACACAGACCTTTCTGAAAGGAATCTGAAACCAATTAGAAACCTTTTGTACCCTCTCTAATTTTCTTACAGCTTCTCATACTTGGTTTATAGTTCATCGCATCACTATTTTTCCCATGAGGAAGACCATAAGATTGGTATATGTCGATGTGGGAAATAAGCAAGAAGAGGATTATTGTGTCAAACTGACTTGCAGATCTGCTGCATCATGTGACAGGGAAGATACACTGAGTTTTACAAGCTATTGCAGGCAGTCTTCTGGCCTTCTACACTTCAATATAGTCCTCTCACTCAAATTTTTGGGCAGAATATTGCCATTGCTTTACAATTTAAAAAAATATCCAGCTGACAAAATTAGGATATTTTAAGGGGGTCATCAAGGTGAAAAATCACTAATACAATCTTACAAATTCCTATAAGTTAAATTCCTTATAGTTGCTTTCAGTTGCATGCAAGAGATCTTCCATTATTTCTCTCAGTTTAATTTCATTATTTTCAGTTTTTTGTATTTTCTTATTAAATAAAGCCAAGAAACTGCTCTGTATGAATACTCTCATGCAAGTCATTTATTCATTTTCTTTAAGCAGGCTGTATGAATTTTAAGTGAAATTCTTTTTTTCCTTTATCCACCATATGTTAGATTAGTGCATCTCTAACTGAGAGAGGTTAGTGCTGCTGGACCATCAGTACTAATCAGCAGTGGCTTCTGCCTTACTCTGTCATTTAGACATGGGGATGGGAAAATCAGTCCTCCTTTTGTTAGAGCATCTTTTCTTCACCAGCAGACATCAAACTCTTAAATCACAAGAGTGCCTAACATGGAGAATGCAAAGTCATTGTAATAAATAATCCTTGAACAGAAGGAAAATACAGGGAGATGGTTATGTTTGGGGTTTTTTAAGCTACCCTAGGACTTATCACCATTTTCTGGAATGGCTTATGCTGTCACCTGTCAGTGAAGCAGAGTAATCACAAGAGTAGCTTTTTATTATATATTTTATACCCTACATTTTTTTCCTGGTCCTTTACCAACAGATTGCTATTCAGCAATTTTTAAGGTGGCAACTCCTGTTTTAAAACAAGAACTAACATGATTCTCTCATATGTTTTTGAACTATGTTTTTTTCAGCTGTTGAACTGTGTTTTGTCTTAGGACCATCTTGGAAGGCAAAAAAATTTTACTGAGCAACAAAAGATACTCCTTTTTGTCATTAAAATTTTCTATATACAATAGTTATTTAAATTCCTTCTTATTGGCAGCAGACTGGGCCTGTATTTTCAGGCAGTTGACTCTAACTGCAGGCAACAGATGCATTTAAAATAGACAGCAATAAGATTCTATTTTTGAGATGTAGTGATTGGAAGGGAACATTTTTCTGTCAATCAGATATACATTCAAATGGTATTTATTTTAAAATTGAACATTCTAGCTTAAAAGATTTGCAACTGTTTTCACATTTACTACCTAAAATTGGAAAGGAATGCTAAAGAATTAAGTGATAGAAATTTGCACCTGGAATTTAGTGCGGAATATGATACTTAATGTGCAATATAAATTGTGTAAATTGTCAATTCATCTGCATATTTGGGTATTTTTCAAGAAAACAAAATAATTTTTAAAACAAGCTTTCCTTATTTTGTAATTCTTCATGCTATTAGATACGTTACAAATTTTAAGCAAGGTATTATTCGACTGGTTAGCATGCCATGACCTAACAGATTGAGCAGCTGCATTGGTTCTTTAAGATACTTCACACTTAGCAAATAATCATAAGTAAATATCGTCCTATGAGTATCAGAATAGACTACATTGCCAGTATTGTGTCAATATTTAAAGACAAAATTCAGTTCTGCAGCAACAGCCAAGTAGAGTCTAAGTGGGTGGGAGAGGGCTGGAGGAACCAGTAGCCAGAGGAGGCTTCAGAAAGAAGGATTTGCACCTCTCGTTAGAGGTAGGAGCTGCTGCTGCTGCTGCTTGAGGGAGTTACTGCTTGCTGCTGTAGCTGGCCCTCTCCACGCTCCTTTTCAGGCTTTGTACCATAATAGTTAATCCTGTGTCCTCAGGCTGCAGTTTCTTGCTGTTCTTTGCCTTCAGCTGGCCAAGCTGGTGAATGGAATCTCTGCACTTGGAGTTTTGTTGTGTTAGTGATAGTTAACGGTAGACAAATATGGGAATGAGAAAGAGATGAAAGTAGTAATAAAGCCCATTGTTCATACAGGATGTTTTAGTTCTGTATTCCTTCTTAAAATAAGAATTCATATGTAGACCTATCAAAATTACTTACACTAGATTTCAAAGTCATGGTGATTTCGGGTGTCTCCTCATATTTAAGATCATATTTATTAATTTCTATTTTTAATTGCATATGATCTACGTTAACTGAATCTGTTAATCGTGTTCATTTAAAATTGATGGAATCTATTTTAAAAGCTGAATTAGAAAATACCACTTTCTGAATGAAAAAAAGGACTTGACACACTCTTTCCTTCCATTGCTAGGCCATGGGAAGTGTGACTGTGGGAAGTGCAAATGTGATGAAGGCTGGTATGGTGAAGCTTGTCAGTATCCAACTACTTGCAATCTTACACGGAAGAAAAGCAATGAAATGTGCAAGAATTCTCAAGATATCATCTGTTCTGGTGCAGGTAAGATGTCTTTTGTTGCTTTTGATGGCTTGATATTCTCCTTGTGTTGTCTTGAGAATCATTGTAATTTCTTTTCTAATTAGGAATTTTGCAGAGTTTGTTTCAAGAGACTGAGAAATAACTATGTATACTAAAATGCTTAATTTTCCTATAGGCCTATTCCTATGCATATGATGTGCACTGATTCAGAATGCCTACTTTAGTACTCTAGTTTATCCATAGCTATTTTAGGTTGATGAAACTGCAGCTGTGTCATGTATTTTGCCCATCAAAACGTTATGGTAATGGCATTAACACAGAAAGTGACGTCATTTTTTTTTGTATTGTGTTTATAGCATGCAGAAATGGCATTTGCAAGTATTTTTCTGGGACATTTATAAGCTATACGATTTTTTGAGATACTTCTGAGCTGTAACAGTGATTACTAAAAACATTTGTGGAAGTTCTGCTAAATCATTTTAATAGGGTACTTCCATCTTCACTTTTCTGATTTAATAACTCTCTTTTCTCTAACTCTTTAATTTTGTAACTCATAATAACTTAAATAGGAAGTCCTTTCCTTAAAAAAGTAAGAGGAAGAAGAAACGGCTTTTCAGAAGACTTCACTGCAGAATGGTAAAACTTTGAAGGGCATTTGCTACCAGCCAAGGTTTGAGACCAGAAACTGCCTTTCAGTTTTTCCATTACATTGATCTCCAAGTAAGAGAATATTTCAAGAACCCCACTTCTGCTCGCTGTTGCTGGCTCTTAGTTTCTGTCTGGGTTCATACATTTTCATACAACTACATTTCTCACAAGGTAGTTGCTGACATGGACAAAGAACCCAAAGAATTTGTGGGACTTGCTGCAAAGAAGCTAGGCTCTCACAACAAGTTGTGAAGCCAATTTAATGTAAAATTTTAAGCATACAGCATACTGAGTAAATGATACATTTCATTTATGACAATGATACAGATTGTATGAAACTCATGATTGTTTGGCTAACAAAAGAGAGACACCTAAATGAGAAACTAACTCTCAAAAATAAGCATAGTTCATCGTGATCAGTAGAAGTACTTCAACAAGAATGTTAAGACCTTTTTTTCCTCTTTCTTTCCTTGGCTAGAAGTGGCCCTGGTCTGTCCATCACTGAGTCTTCACAGGAGAGCCAACGTAGCAGAACAACCACTAAAAGTGGCTAAGAAGGGAGTGTTTGTGAGATCAGGAGAAGACTAAATGCTTCCAGTTTTGCTGGTATTAAACGGGATAGGAATTCCAATGGGATGGGCTAGGGAGTTTGGGGTAACTTTGGCAGGCTGTAGCCATACATTTTTTGTCTTGATGGGATTGCCTTTTGACCTACTGCCAATGTTGCCGTTGGGGTCTGAGCTCTGTTTTTTTCATTGCCAATAGAAGATGGGAAGGGATGACACGAGTTGTTGCAAAACCAGTCCTCTGCTGACACACAGCTAACCATTTATTGCAATTCTTTTAATGAACCAATCAAGATCCACCTAAAATTTAACTTTTCTGACTTGACTGTTCCTAATCATTTGTCAGAATAACTAGGGCATCCTACCTAAACTGAGATTCTCTAAGTGAGCAATTTCCACTTCTAGTCAATGGGAAGGAATGGACACTTTTAGGACACAATCTGTCTGACCTCTTTAGATGCCCAATTTATGAATCAATTTTTCATTTTATCTGTTTTCCTGCTTGGGAATTTCTCAAAATTTTTATTTGTATTTATTTTCCAAGTAAATGTAGCAAATAATTCTAGTTCTGTATGTTACTTATGTTGTATTATCAATCAGTTGTATTATTTTATTACATTAGCTCTTGCAAACATTTTTTAAAGTTTACTTTTTTAGACTGGCCACGTATGTCATAGAGCCCCATTCTACTAGTCTTTATTTGGATTAATAGGATGTTTAGTAAAACTTGTACTATACTTGTAATGGTGAAATGTAAAATGGTTTCTGCAAACTAGTTGTGTAATAGCAGCATAAAACTTCTATTTTGGAGGACTACTTTTGTGTCAATAACCATGTTTTCTAAAATATGTATGGATGTAATGTGAGGAGCATGAGCCTTGTGAATTAAGTTCCTGTTGTTTTTTTTTTTAATGTAGGCTTGCTGGCATAGTGACGCCAGTGACTGCTGAAACAGCTTGTGCAAGCCCATCGGCCGCTGGGCCCCAGTTAACATGGTATTGCACAATGTTCCTACTCTTACAATTTTAATAAAGGTGATAGAGGTAGGGAATAGGGGCGTCTTATATGACCACCATAGCAATACTTTTTTTTCTAATGTGATTTTATAGTATTTTTGCTTTTTTGACTGTGTAACTCCTTAATATGTTTGCTTATGGCTGTTGTATGTTATCGTGTATTATGTTCTGAACTAGAAAATATTCAGGAGGAAGAGGAGGCAGTTGTTTGCTTTGCCCTGGCAACTGCACTCCAGGTCAGATAGCTTCTCTGAGGGAAAAGAGGGGATTTTTCCTTCCCCGGGAGCAACAAAACAACCTTTTTCTGTTTGGGAGGGTGGGTCATGGAAAGAGGCAGCCACTGAGGTGAGGGGGCAACCCTACTCAAAAGACCAAGAAGCAAATGTGTGACCAGACCAGAGATGACAGAAAAGAGATCTGTTTACAAACCCATTTCCATCCTTTGCTTCACCTGAGTCGTCTGGCTTTTCCTTAGGTCGGAAAGTTTTCTCTTGTGGTTTATGTTGTGAGAAAAACCAGCACTATGCTCCCAAAGCATTTGGGAGTCCTGGGGGTACTTACCTTGAGAGAGAATTTCAGGCAGATCCATGTTCTCAAACCACTCGCTGACATGGGTAAAACCCATCTTACTTGTAACAAATCAGCAAGTGTCTTTATTATAGCTCTTAACGTTGTTGCAAGATCTACTCTTTTCTGAGACATCACCCACAAACTGAAGAAAAATGAGCCCTAAAAGCTTAAAGTTCGACTGGGCGCAAGTCCTGAAATAACAAGATATTATTATAGAAGTTCCTACCATTCTTCAAATGAATGAAATAATTTGTAATGTGGACATCAATACCACTGGAAAAACATGCACTTTGGAGTAAAATTGTTGATATGCTATTGTAATACTTATGGTTTGTTTAATAATGCTATGAATGTATTTCTCTGCAATTAGCCTGTCTGTTGTATAATTAATGTATTGCTGTGGTAATTGCTTTCTAGCTTGAGTCCTTTTTTCCTGACATCTCATCATAAGGTCTTCATGCAGATGTTCCTCACCAATGTTTCCTTCCTTTGATTCCTGTTTTTTTTCTCCAAGGCTACACTTAAAAAATCTTAATCCTCAGAAGATAGCTGTAGAAAAGGGACTAGAGACTAGAGACTAGAGTGAGAAGGAACTTTGTGAACATAGGCAGACATATTTTCAGGTCCTCAGTAGCCATGCCCTGTTACCTTCATCTAACATGGCTGTGAAACTGGAAAAAAACAGGCTTCATTCTTGAGAAGATGACTAAATTAAATTTTTTCCTTTCAGTAGGCAGAAGATATATTTTCCAAAGGTGACTTCATACCTCAGTTGTATGAAGTCAGACAGGCAGCTCTAGGAGTGAATTTTACTTAGGAAAATATGGTGCTTCTGATTAAAAATGAACCATCTGAATGTTGTATCTATTTACAACTAAGATTAGGCTTTTTATTGATATGGATTGTTTCTGTGTCTGTCTTTATTTGGCTGGATGATCTTTAGATTTCAGCCTTCTCAAAAATAAAATATGTACCATTTCTGATGGACTAATGAAACTCTTCCCATAAACTGCAGTCATTGAGTACTGTTTTAAATGTTTACAGGCACATGTCAGTGTGGCAGGTGTAAATGTGCAAACTCAGAAGGAAATGGCCTGGTCTATGGTAAATTTTGTGAATGTGATGACAGAGAATGCATAGATGATGAGACGGAAGAGATTTGTACAGGTATGTATTTTAGTGAGTACAAGAAGAATGGTGAAGATTAATACAGGCTGTTATAAAATCATTTAATTGTGTGGACCTACAAAATGTCTTTACTGAATGTATGACTTAAAATAAAAGTAACTGTATTTGCAAGAATTTAGCTTTCAAATTGTAAGTAGGAATTTCAGATGCAAACATGAGCTAAGGAGGAGGTTAAAAAATGAATAAATCCTGTGGCATCCTCCTCTTTTTGGAAGAACTGCAAAGAGGATTATACAAGGTAATTCACTAAGGTAATTCATAGCGCAGTGTGTCTGTCTTCAGTAGAATACAAGAAATGTGAATGCTTTGTGGCACAGATGAGAGCAAGATGGAGGACATAGGAAAAAAAACAAAAAAGAAAAATAGATTATTAAGAGTTTTGTCAAGGAAGCAAAAATTAAAAAGAACAAGAATAAATGTAGGATGAGAACTCAGAAGCAATTCAGGAGATAAAAAGGGAAAAGAATGAATAAAGAAAAATTCCATCTGTGATAGGAAAGGCAAGAGAATAAGATGGAGTGATAGATAGATAGAAAAGCAACCAAAATGCAAACTGTGCTTTCATTTCATTATAAGATAGGAACCTAGCAATTAAATATTGTGCAATGCCCACCATTTATGGCATTATAAATGCTGTTGCCTATATTACTAGGGAGGCTTGTCCTTCAGCTGGAAGGTGCTACAAATATTTTTCAAGCTATACACATGCATACTGTGTTTGTATGCATATATAGGAGGGTTTGAAACTGCTCTTAGACTATTCGTACTTTGATAATAGTGCTTGCTCTCTGTGTGTGTATAGAGAGAGAGTACTTGTGTAAAATAGCTTTATCTGTCTTTATCCTTACACAAAGAACAAAATAAATTCTATTTATTTAAGTGCCTTTGAAGGCAAAAAATAACTTTTTTTTTGCATGGAATTAGGTAGAGATTTTAAATAAGGGTAAACAGAATGGTCCTCTGAAGTGCAAATCCAGGCGTGGAGTACAATATTTCCAGTAATTGCCTAAAATTAAATGAGTGGAGGGCAGTAATTTGCCAGTGATTCTATTTATATTTATTTGCTTATAACCATTACATATGGTACCAAATATGATAAAAATTTACCATGTATTTAGTTCCAGTAAATTCTCCTTCTGCGGTTTTTGTCAGTTTTTTTCCCCCACTTGTGTTGCTGCTGGTTTATATTGTTAGGTTTTTCTTAGCTTTTATTTCTCCTTGTTTCATCCAGTGGTGCCATATTCCAAAACAGACCAGATGCATCTCTGAAAAAACTGGTGTTATGTGTATGCAGAAATCAAAGTATGCTGACATAAAAGGACAAAAAAATGTTGGTAGATTCAAGTCTCTAAGGTCTGTGATTCATCAATATAAAAGCCCTCATACCTTATGTAAGGTTTGGAGCCTTCTAAAGTAAATATAAGGTATAAACTAATGGTGTGTTTGACTTGGTTAGGTTGTTGTAAACTGAAAAGTTTATGCATGTAGGTTATGAGTGTTAGATTTTGCTTTGTTTGTAACAAACCTCTACAGTACATAACTGCATGTTGAACCTGGCCTTACACAGGAAAAATGGACAGCACATCAACTGAAGGACAAAGGTACATAATTCCATCACGGAAAAAGCAGACCCCACATGCCTATCTGGTTATTGCTTCTCTCTCCCATCCCAATGTCTCCTTTGATACCCTCTGTGCCGTCTTTCCTTCCACAGGATTTCCACCTCAGGAATCATTTATGTTTATTTATGAAGTACTAAAGAAACAGTGTTCCAACCCCGTTCTGCTTAGCTAGCAACGGCCCCTGGATATTCTCCACAGCCATGGTGAACCTAATCAGTGCCTGTTGTACTTCCACAGTTTGTGTAGCGCCTACTTAGTTGCTACGTATCCTTTATTGCCCTTAAAGGTATAGACAGGTCTTGAAGATTTTAATTGTCTTCAAAGAAAGCAAACTCAGGAAGATCAAACTAGTGAAAAAACGAAAACTTCTATTTACACACATGTTTCTAAAGCCTGCAGCTGTGAGCTGGGATTTTTTGCTGGAAAAGCATACAATGCCATGCTGAGATATGGCTAACATGCATTTTAATCTTTGCACAAGGGGACTGCATTTCTTAAGCAAATCAGTTCTTAAGGCAGAGTTAAAAAGATATATCAAGCTTTTCCAGCCGCAGTTGGATTTTTATCAGCCAGTTGACTGTATCAATTCTTATTTGAGGTTACATAAACTTTGGAATCAGGTTGCAGCTTATTTTTAATAAAGTATCATGGTTTCTAGCAAATTAAATTCTGACTGTGATCTTTATCTAAGACTTTATTTCTCTAATGGAGTGATTTTTGTCTTCAGTGAAGAGCAAGAGGTAGTGGCAAATTGTATCATTTTATTCATATTTATTCGAGGACTATACAAGTGTGAGTGAGGAATGAAGTAGTGATGTTTTAATCTGCAAAAATTGCCAGTAGATCAAATTAATTTACTCCTTCACCATTTTCCCCTTTATTTCTTGTCCACTGTTCAAGAACAACCTTTTGGCAATAAGCATTATTTTAGACTGTCTTTGTTGTTTAGTTATCTAAGTAAGATGGTATTTTTATCTTCTGTTATTTTTTGACATGTAACCAAACAATTGTAATGAAAGTTCCATGTGTAACTGTAAAAACAGGAAAAAATTGTATTCCACAGGTCTAATTTTGCACTCTTGATAATTAATGATATAAGTTGACCAGACCGTGATAGAGACGACCAGGTCTACTAAGCTTAACATACCTAGAGGGAAAAAAGGACAAGATCTTGAGTCGATCCTTCTAGTAAAGAATTAACTTATGGCTTTAAGATTAGTAAGAGTTGCAGCTACTTAATTTAAATGCTTTGTGTCATCGAAGCACATGGCAGAAGTACCTTAGTGGATCAAAATGTTCAGGAGCTGGTTTCATCAAGCCTCAGATGACCAAACTATCTTTCGGGGAGATATGTGGTTTGTTAAATGAATATCAAAATGGTTCATTTTACTAATTCTTATCTTTCATGAACTGAATCTTCTTAATAGGTAAGAAGGGAAGCCATATACAATGTAGACAGTTTGTAGTAAATCATGTTGCCCCAGCTGGAATTATCTGAGGAGTCAAGAACGCACACTGCTTTCTTAGACTTGCCAAATACAGTGGGCAAGTGTGTCCTATCTTGACATTTAAAGCTGTGTTTAAATTTTAACTATTACATCTACTGTCTTCCAAATTTACCTATGAAGTTTCAAAAATTAAGCTCACAAATATAAAAATATTGATATTATTTTCTTAATGTTTATTGATTAGATTTAATCTGTGATTAAATGAAGACATGTTCTAAAATAGACTTGGGGAAAAGTATAATTCACATATCCTTTGTCTTATTTTATGTAGGCATATACGGTCTATAAATTGTTTCTATTCTGAGTAAAGCACTAGAAGTTTATAAAAGAAAAAAACAAAACAGTTAAATTGTTAATGCCTTTTAAAAACTTGCCTCTTTCTCACTGTATAAAATTTGTTTTGGCTTAAGGCCATGGAAAGTGTTACTGTGGAAACTGTTACTGTGAGGCTGGTTGGCATGGAGATAAATGTGAATTCCAGTGTGACATCACCCCCTGGGAGATCAAGAAGAGATGCACATCTCCAGATGGCAAAATCTGCAGCAACAGAGGTGTGTCATTCACAGGTTCCTTCTACGCATATTTATATAGCTTGCTTTTATTTTACAATATGCATTTCCTACAGTAGGACGTAGACTGTGTTTGCTGATAGTTTCTAGTTTGTTCTCACCTATTTCAAATCTGGATATACGTTTCCAAGTGAGTGGGTAGACACCTGTGTTCAGGTATAAACTTACACAAATCCACACCCATTTTTGGATTAAGCTGACCCAAGTTGTCCTCATCCTTCATTTTTGTAGTAAGACGAAGCAGGATAATTTGTTAGTACATCTGCTTTGGTGAGACACCTATCCTGTAAAATAAAATATTAGCAATTTTTTGACTTTGAGTGGATTGGTGCTGTAAAACCAACAGGACCATATGTCAATTCACTCTTAAAGAAGACCAAGGCCCCACAGCTGAATAGGGAAAATTAAAACACAAAGCTTTTAGTTTCCACTGCAACCTGAAAAAACCCCTGAGTGTTCAGTAACAATGCTGTGGAATGCATACAGAGCTGGAAAGGTAGACTTCACACAGTATTTCTAACTAAGTGGGGTTTTATTTGCACAAAGTTCCAGAATTTGAATTTTAGCTTTTACTTCTGTCTCGTTTTGCCATTTTGGATAAAAAATAGCACAAAATAAGGTTGCTTTTCTCTAGCTGCTATGTTTGGCTTCATTGAACAAAGAATTAAAAAAAAAAAAGGGTTTTTTTGGGCAATAGTCCAGAATAATTACAGTAGAACAGCAAGTCACACAGATACCTCTCTTAAAAACACCTCTACTGACAAAACCTTGTGTGAACCTCTCTTAAAAACCTAGTGTGAACATCTAATTATCCTGAGAGCATTTAGAAAACTCTCTTCTCTTAATTATGAGGAAATTAGAAAGATTGGCTCAAATACAGAGATCATGTAGGCACATTTAGTCTTGGGACTTCAGCAGTAAGAATTTTCTCTAATTCTGGAAATAATAAATATCTAAGTGGCTTCAGATCAGGTGCTTTGTTTGCACCGAGAAAGTAATTTCTTGTCAAAGCAATTTTTTGTTCAAATTTCAAATTTTAATGTGCAAGTATTTCTTAAAAATTACATTGTAATTGGGGGAAATGAGGATAAATAGTATAGCTGATATTCTGAATAGCTATGAACTCTTATACAAAGGTACATTCATGGGATACATCTATATTTTCAGCCTTTCATGTATTCGTGATTTTATCCACATAAAAATTTTGTAGGCTTTTGACTACATAAAGTTGCTTTCTAACACAGTGTTTCTACTCTTTTTAGTCCTATTTACCCAGTTTTTTGTATTTATACATCTTGTGATATAGGTGCACTTCATCTTGTCAGTCTTGAGCCTTCTAAAAATTAAATATTGAGGCTAACGTTCCTGTCCAGCCTCCTTCAGTGCTGAGATGGATAAATTGTCTGTATCTTTCCACCAACTGTCTAGTCAACCAGCTGAGACCAGATGTGAACTTTTAGATTTTTAAACTTTGGTGAGATGGTGTTTTGCATTCCCATATCCAGGACAGCTGATCCAAATTCACTTTGAAGTTGTTTCTGCAAGGATTAATCATTCTCCAGAGGCATTTCCTCCTTTTCCAGGGTTGTTTTTTTGTGTGTGTGTTTGTTGTTGTTTTTTTGGTTTGTGTGGGGTTTTTTTGTTTGGTTCCCCGCCCCCCTCCCCCCCCCTTCTCCTTCAGTAATGCCACTGAATTGTGAAAGTATAAAAAATCAGGTGCAAATTTCTTGAGGGCTATCTTGGTGGCTTTAGCACTGAACAGGGCAGCAGCTCTTTCTGCTTCATATAACTGTCATGTATGCACGATTGTGTAGACTTCTCTTTTTAGAGAATGTACCCACATCTATATGTACTCTTTAGTCCCTGTGTCCTGTTATCCTCAAATGCATTATATTGTTCAGACTAATCTCAATAAGAAGACAAAGGCTTTGGTGGAGTAGCAGAAGGTGAAGCTACTCTTCAGGAAATGAACTGCACCCATCTGTAAGGTTGGGCTCTTCTTTGTGCCAGTTGGCATCTCAGAAAAAGTAGTGAGTATATGGCCCTGAAGCATATTTGGATTTCTGAATAAGGAAACTTTTTTGTTTTGTTTTGTTCTGACTTTTCCTGAGTAAGTCAGATGCATGTACTCTGTATATCAGTAAGCTTGTGCCAAATTAGGATCTCTGTTACATTTCACATTTCCTTTCTTATTGTAAATGACAGGGTGTGGCCCTGAATATTGACTTGGGAAAGTGGAGAAGTATCATTTTCATGTAGGTCTGTGCTGATGTTCTTGGGTAAAGAATGACCTCCTAGGCATTTTCAGCTGGACTAGAATTTGGACTCCCTTCTAGTTTAAATGTTTATGCTTTAACAATCATTAATTATCCACTGTGCCCAAGCCCAAGTCATTTAAACAGCATTGATTTTTATTGTCATTAGTGTCAGGGCAAATTACTGTTGATGTCAAAGATTTACAACTGTTTTGTGCACTACATTTTTCTTTTGATTCCTAACAAGACTCAACAGCAAAAAGAAACTTGAACAGGATGCCAACTTGTTTATATGAAGTATTACTACTAAGTAATCATAGAAGGTTTTAAATCATAGAAGATGAGCAGACGCTCATGACTAACACTTGCAGCTTTGAAACTGCACTCCTGTGAGAGCAGAAAATTCACAAGTGTCAATTCCTGTAATCAAACTCCTATTACTCTAAATTGCTCAGTTAATCTTCTATCTCTGTCTTCCCCCCACCCCACCCCCTCCTTTCTTAGGCACATGTGTATGTGGGGAATGCACATGCCATGATGTGGACCCAACTGGTGACTGGGGAGATATTCATGGAGATACTTGTGAGTGTGATGAAAGAAACTGCAAAGCAGTGTATGATAGATATTCTGATGACTTCTGTTCAGGTAAGGAATATATAAAAGGAACCTATGTGTAGTTTTGTAACAAAAGCATCCAAGTGGTCTGATCTTGCTCTTTCTTAGTGTTCCAATTCTTGTTTTCCTACCTTAAAACATACCAAACTTTAGCTGGTTTTTGGGGGAACAGACTTTTTAAATTAAAAGACATAATTCTGTGAAAAATAAAAAAAGAAGTTTCCAGTTCTAAAGCTTTTTTAAAACATGTCTTTTTTTCTATGACTTTTCACAAAATTCTGTAAATATGAAATACTTTTAGGTGCCCATCTCCCTTCTAATACTCTTGCTTCAATGTAGTGTAACATAAATTGGAGAATGGTTGAAACTTTAAAATATATCTATCCTTCCTTGGGGAAATTTAAATTTCAAAATTTGTTAGATCAAATTTTATTTGTTATTTCATTTTATATGGCAGGGAGAGGACATGCGAGAGGAAGAAATTTGAGGAAAAGTGAATTAATGAGTTAATGAAAAACACTGAGAATACCAATTGACCTGACAACAAGTAGACCATCAATATGTGGAAAATATGAATGTGTGGTCCAGCTACACATCACTGACTGTACATCTTAGACACTTTCACCTTCCTTTTTTCTTTTACTTGTACTTCAGAGCATTATATTCAAATTAGTTAAGGTCCATGCAAGTTTTGCAGTGTATTTAGATTGATGCTCCATGTATCAACTAACAAAAGCTGAGATTCTGAGAGAGAACTTGCATACAATTTTGTATAGTTACCAATAAAGATGCTAATACTGGCCAGGAGAGGACTTTGATCAATACACAGCATGCAATTTGTACACACAGGAACTTTGCAAAAACAGAGAGTGGTTTCAAAGGGACTTGACAGATTACAGGTTGTCAGCTTTAATGCATCCTTTAGAAATCGGATCTGGCCTAATTAATAATAGGAAAAATGCAGTCACATCAAGGAAAATAATGATGTGGTATATTATCCTCCTATTACTAGAATGAGAGATCCCTCATAGAAAGATCATAGGAGTTGTCTGTAGCAGGGAGAGAAGGCTGAAACAAATATGATACATAAAATTCTTAGCATCTTCTTTGCCTGTTATGAAGATGAAAGGTTTCTCAACTGTTGTGTTTGTTTTTTTTAATAAATGTTGATGAATCACTAGCAAATAAAATGAGAAGGGAAAAAAAGCATTTCTAAAAACTTTAAGTGAATTAATTTGCTTGTTACTGTTTCAGCCACCTACAAATGTTATATAGGTTTAATTAATAAGCTGGAACGATGTAGAACTGCAATCATAAGATCAGCTGGAGGATTGACTTTGGGATGTTGTCAATTTTTGAATGTATTATTGTGTTGCTGAGAATGTTTTTAGCACTCAGGGACTGATCAAAATGTCAGCATCAGCTAAGGAGTACAGAGCTAAAAAACAACATGGTAAATGTGTTCGGTAGTTAAGGGTGAACACAAGAGTTTCAAACCTTATTAGTTTAAAGCAAACCTGTGGCATCTACAGCCAATGCTGCATCACTGAAACAGGGCTTGAACTCCGTCTTGCCCGGACGTTATTGCCATTGCTGCTGCTGCTGCTGCCCAGGGTGGTAATGGTTGTAAGAAAGCAGAGTGCAAGAAATTATCGTCAGTTACAAAGGAGTTTAGGGGAAGATATTGCCATTTGACATTGGATTAAACACTGGTACAGTGTTCTTTATTACACAGACATAACTGTAAATGAGTAAATCTTACAAGAGATACAAAAGGAGGTAGTCATATGGCTTGCTTGATGTAACTAAAACTCATGTTGAAGTATCACTTAGTTTTTCTATCTAATTAGCAAAAATTTTAGTACTACTACTTATTTTTATCCCTTCCCTTTCCATTATGATTTAGGAAAGCCTAGTTTAGCCTTAGCTAGCCATCCAAGTATGCGTTCCTCAAATAGATTGTGCAAAAAATCCATTTTCACATGAAGCAGTGTAAACAATGTCTTATAGTCCTGCTGTTTAGTCCTGTTCCAGAAATGGACAAGATGTATAAGTATTACTTTTGGTTTATTGTGGTAGACAGACAGAATCTGTAATTAAATCAAGATTTAGTAGCAGAATTGTAAATGAACAGTTTTTTATTTGTTTATGTGAAATAAATTTACTTTAGTGCACAAAGTGTGCACGCATTAGGTATGTCTGCAAAATATCCTCATTTTTCTCACAATTATTTGTAAATTGATTTAGGATGAATCCAAGAGGGATTAGTCAGGTTAGGGAAAATAATCCAGGTCTCTTAAAACCTACAATAAACAGAGCTGATACAAAACTTTTCCTGCTTATTCTGCCTATCTAATAGGTAGAGACAGAAAATCACATTGTCCTGAGTAGCAGTTTCAAATGGTAGGAGATCATGTTTACATGTAGAGAGTTTTACTGTAACTGAATGAAATGCTATGTTTATTTCATAAACTACAAATGACAGGAATTGACAGCCCTGCTGTGAGGATTTAATATCACACAACAGCAGCTCCCTCCAGAAGCTTCATATGGCTTGGGGTGACTGTCAATTTGCAGCACCTCATATTGGCAACTGGATGCCTCCTTTTAACATCTGAAGTGCTGTTCAGTGTGTTACTGAATGATTTTCTTTGAGAGGTGTTCACAACATTAAAGTGATTCTCTTCCTTTAAAGAGAGAACAGCTTTCATGACTTGACATAGAAAGAAAAAAGGCTTCCATAAGAAAAGTCCTACATTCACACATCTCATTAGATCCTTTGCTGTGGCTCTAGCAAAGAAAACATTATATGAAAGAACATCATCCTCTCATAAGTATCCATCTGGATCAGGGAACATATGTCCAATTCGCAGCCTGTCAGCAGGTACACATGAAAGCAAGGGACAGAATGATTCCATGAACCATAGAATGGTTTGGGTTGGAAGGGACCTTAAAGATCGTCTCGTTCCAACCCCCCTGCCATGGGCAGGGACACCTTCCACTAGACCGGGTTGCTCAAAGCCCCATCCAACCTGGTCTTGAACACTGCCAGGGATGGGGCAGCCACAGCCTCTCAGGGCAACCTGTTCCAGTGCCTCACCACCCTCACTGTAAAGAACTTCTTCCTTACATCTAATCTAAATCTACCCTCTAAAAAAGAGGAAGCCTTTAATGCTTTCCAAGAAAAAAAACCCCACCAAACCTAATGTAAAGAAAAGTTATTCTTGTGAAATTGATAAGACTTTTATTCTGGGAACTACTCTGATAACTCGTAGAATGCTTGCTTTCTCCCATTTTCTCCTTGTGAACTGATAAATGCATACGTTTTAGAAATATAAGCCAGTCTTAAAATGCAAGTATGGTTAGAAAGAGATGTAAAATCTGTGTTGGTATGATTTTCAAGAAGAACTTGGATAGACAAGTGGACATCAGAGCAATGCTTTGGGGTCCTGTATCCAGTGAATGATGACTATGTGAAAATTGTAAGAGAAGATCTAACCTTCTGTCAGAGCTCATGAAAATAAATATTAGATTTTGTGGCAAGGAATGTATTTGCTGATGCTCAAGCTTTCCTCATCCAGTGCAAGGAACATTTTGTATTGCCAGAATCCCACTGCTTTATGCAAAGAACATTAGGCTCATGATGAAGGGAGCTGGGCGTGGTCGTGGTCTGGATATGTTAGCATTCATATAGCAGAAATAGATTGTTTGGATGGCTTTCCAGTTTAAGTTGTCAGGAGGGATTCACCCCTAACTTCTTGGCTGTCACATTTTTTAAAGAAACTTTCCATAAAATCTTCTTATGGAGTTCAGTTGCTCTTCCTCACCTCAACTTGCACAGTGAAAGTTGTGTCTATGTTGCTATGTTCAGATGTGGTCACGAAGAGTCACATTAGCTAATGAGATACCAAAACCACATCCAACTGCCCTATTGAAATGAGAATTGATTATGTCCAGTATTTTATTACTTGCACATCACTATTTAGTAGAAGGCACTGGTTTAAGACTTGGAATTGGTTTGACATTGCTTGTCTCTAGTGGATCACATTGATTGCAAGCAGGTAAAAGATGGTATTGATATATTACTTAGACAATATGCTGCAACTGTGGTAGAAAAAGAACACAATAAAGGTAAACAAAATATTGCCTTATGACGGCCCCACTTTTCCAGACAGTGGTGAAATGTGTATTTGTATCCTCTGTCCCACCCTTTCACCTGAGGAGCATGTGCTAAGTGGCAGAATATCCCTCAAGAAAAAAATTTAAAAGGAAACATGTCTCAAATGGAATGATAGCCCAGTGCTATTTTCAGAAAAAAGTAGATATAGTGAATTGATTGTATTTTTGCCAGTCTGATTATTTAATGAAACCACAACTTTGACAAAGTTCATCTAATCATGAGGTTTTAATACTTATAATCTGTATGGAGGCTAATCTTTAATTGTATTCATTGTGAAGGTCATGGACAGTGTAATTGTGGAAGATGTGACTGTAAAGAAGGATGGACTGGGAAGAAGTGTGAACATCCACATTCTTGTCCATTGTCAGTTGAGGAGAGTGCTAAGAAATGTCAAGGAAATTCTGATTTACCTTGCTCTGGAAGAGGTAAGCACATTTCTGGAAGAATTTTCATGCCCTTAACATGTACTTCCATTAAAAGAATTTTTACAGATGTCCAGCATTACTAGTACTGAAAAATGTGAACTTTTTTGGCTTACTGTGCATGAATCACACCTGCATAACTTGTGAGTTATGAGAAGGGAGGAGAAGAATACAAAGGTCACCTATTTTTCCTGTCATCTACTGCTTTGTATTTTATTTTAAATATCTCAGCATTTGTTTTGGAGGTTTTCAAGGATGCTTTGAAGATTGCTGCAGTTACGTCTTTACTAAAGATACATTAAAAATATGAACCTATTCTATGCATTCTTTGACAAAACCAGCTTGAGATTTTCAGCCTTTGTAAAATGTTGTGGCACCATTGTGGTAAGAGCTGTTCAGATTTACACTGCCTAAGAACCTGCCCTACTGAGTGCAGGACTGACTTCTAAAATGCAGTTGTCCTTCAGTGCAGTTTCCTAGTTAGCCACTGGCTTTTCATTTGAAAGCATTTCTCTGTGACAATGTAACCTCTTCAAAAGCTTTGACTAAAAAAATATACTAAAAGTCATATGTACAATTGAAATACACATGGCAAGCAAAAGAAAACTTTTCTCAGAAGGAAAAGGACCTGCTATTTTTCATCTGTCACTGTGTGAAATGTGGTTTTCTGCAGAGAGAAGAGAGAAAAGTAAATATGAGACACACTTTTTCTAGAACTGGTAATTGAAGTTGTTATGAATTCTGCCCACTTAAGTATTTGCTGGGAAAGGTCTAAAGCTACTCTTGAATTATTGCATTTGACCCTAAATGTAATTTCATTTGCAATTTCTTCTTTCACTAATACTATCTAACATAGTCAAAAATTGTAGGCTGTCCACCCAAGTTAGCACTGTGGTAATTATATTTTTCTCTCCTTGTAAATGTGTAGCAGGTCATAACTTAATAAATGCAGCATTAGCTGTGTTTTAAAAGAACTGTGTATTAAGAGATTGTTGCTTGGTTTTTTCTTAATTAAGCTACAGTTTTCCAGTGAATTACATCTCTCTCTCTTTTCTTGCTAAAAATTCTCAAAGGAATTTTTGGCTACAAGTTAGGTGAAACATGGACATCTGTAGAGAATTAACTGCATTTTATTGTTCCTTATATGCAAGAATTATAACTAAAAGAAAGGAATGTTGACATTTTATTTATTTATTTATTTAATACTGGCTCACTCTTTTCCTGGTCTCATTGGATGCTGAATGTCTCTTCTCTCATCTGCTTCACTAGGAGTTGTGTATGTTGAGCATTCGGAGTCAGTTCTATGATATAATTGTGCTGTGCCCTATGAGAGTCAAATGACAGAGAAAAGAATGACAGCCATAAAAACAAGTTTAGTTTGAGTAAAAATACAGTCTTAAGTTATGGGACATATTTTTCTATTTATATTTTACATTTTGAAAAGTATTATTAAGTATAGTGAGAAGAGTGAGTTTAAAGATTTCGATATTAATGGCAATAATTATATCCTCTTGGCTTTCTGAAAAAAAACCCTGAGTATCAATGCTGGCAGGTATTGTCCTGTTGAGATACCAGCAGTGAAGTAAGTCCCTTTCAGGTGAATTCATTTGACTGAATGATCTATTGGTCAAAATTTTCAAATAAAGTACAAGCAGTATCTATTGGAACAAAAAGCTTAATTGATAGTGGCTTTCACTGAACTTCCTTTGACTTCCATCAAGAAGAGATCACCAAGGTTTATGAGAAGTGCAAATGTCACAGACATGCATCTAGGACATAGTATGATAGAAAGCTGCTGTAATGAAGGAACAAGAGATTCTGTGTCACACACTTGAAAAAAATTGCCCATGAAAACTGTAATTTTAAAATGGAATGTGGTATCTTGTTTTAGTTATATCAACAATTTTGTTTAGGAAATTGGGAGAGAAAGAGAAAAGAGATTTTAGTCTAATATTCTGTAATTTTTTTACCCTGGATTCCCTGGATTTCTCTTTCGTCCATCATATTTTGGTTATAATAAAAAACGTGAGAAAGTTCCTGTACTGTTGAAGTGAAAAATTGTCATTGGACTTGCACAGTTAAATTCTTTGGTCCCATTTGAAAATCCTACTAGTTGTCATTATAGCTTGTCACGGGTAGAAGTATTACACAAGCAAATGAAACAAAATAAAGATTTCCAATCAAATGCAACCTATTTCAAGTGTTCTGGGGTGGGAAAGGCCATGGACACGTAACACCAGCCCCAATTTTTCTGAAGTCCATAGGGAGGATTGTGTGACAAGGAAAGAAACGTTCCGAAGGGAATGTTCTAAAGGAAATGGAAGTGTTGCCTTTTCCATTTGAACATTATTGTTTTGGTAACCACCTTGTAATATTTTTCTCCTAGCTATGGTACAAGGACAGTAAATCCTTGTACAGGTCAGTAATCCACTGCACTGCTGGAGATACTGAGTACTTAACATCCTTAACGTTTAATGGGATCTTTTAATAAGGCAGTTCATGTATGGAATAGGATGCAGAACAGAAAGCCCAGAGATGCAGGTGCATGACTTTATGACTTTGCCATGCATTGTGTTTCCCTGAAGAATGTTTTCTATTCATCTGTACCTTTTGTTTCTAGGTTAGTCAATAACAGTTGTGACAGCTAACATACTCTTTTGCAGTCACTTTTATGATCTTGAATAAAGACAAAGCATTTTTAGGATTTTTAATGCCATATAGATAGCCAAAATGTGTAGGGAGAAAAAGAACTGTTACAATTCATAGTAACATATAGCTTTCTACAGTCTCTGTCTAAATGCTGACATATGCTCAGATTTTCAGGTGGAGGAGTTTGAAACTTCACTTATGCTACTCTGTTCCCGAGATTAACAAAAATTTTATCTCCTAAATGTTATTTTCTCATTGAAATATTAAGCATGATTTCAAAATGTGATAATCCTTCACTTAAACAGTAGTAAAAAAAAAATAAAATAAATCCATGTTGCTTGAGGAAACATTGAAGAAATAGTCCTTCAAAGGTTTGGCTGGCCATTTTTATTTTTTTGTGCATTTTGCAAAACTTTCTGATATGGAAGACTATAAAACTCCCAATGATTCAGCTTCATTTGGAGATTTAATATCTCCAATGATATTTACAGAAGGTGAACCAGAAAAAAAACCAAACAAAAAAACCCACCACCAAACCAAGCCACCAAATCCTCTAAATTCCTCATAAAAAAAAAGATATGGGATTTGTATATTTTTGTGTCAGAGATTTGGCATGGTGGTACAATTAAAAAAAAAATCCTTTGTTTCACTTCACAAAATTGTACAATATTAGCACAAAAATCATGGCAAAAAGATATTCTTCAAAAATTTTCAATCAGTCTGAGGGATGAAAAGCTTCCATCCTTGAACATCATTTTGGTAAGGTGCTTATTTCATACCTTGTACTTTGTTTTACAGGTAATGATGAATGGAAAAAAAAAAAGAGAATGTTAGCCTAATCTTACTCTTTTGTTTATGATTCAATGACCCGATATGTTTGTAATATTAAATTTTCATATAAGATACCGGGTTTTTATATAAATGTACCCAAATTTTTGTTAGTTACCTTTAAGGCAAGTTATGTTCTTACATAGGCAGACATAGAGAAAGCATGAGCAATGCAAACTAAGATAATTGTCATGTGCCACCCAGATTTTGAGAATCCCAGGTTCCCTTAACTGTAAGTCATGTAAACTCAGCAAGAGGAAAAAAGATACAGGAAAAAAATTAACAGTGAAAGAAAGCTTTTTTAAAGTGAAGTGTTTAATATATCAGGGGTACATAAAAGTTGTATTAAAAACTTTAGAGAATTAAAAGGATGTCATGAAGAACATGACCTAATTAGATAATCACTGTCTATAAAATGCTTTAGGTTACAATTTCTCAATCTGCATTTCATGCTCCTGAGAGCAGATGAAGCGGTGAACTTTTATTCCAGACTGTAATTCCCTTCCTGATTTTCCCATCATTCACAGGAATAACAAGCTGTTTCATGGGTAGTGGTCAGCATGTGGGGAGAGCAGAGATGCTGCCAAAAATATATTTCACTATGGTCTTATATTTCTTAGCTGTTTCAGTAGGTGAAGGAGAGAGAAGGCTTTATATTGACATGTTGAGCAGTAAGTTAGAATGTCTACATTCTCAAATGATGTTATAAAGGCAAAGGAAATATAAATCCTCTCAGTTTACGTCAATCAGGCTGTCTTTACCTTCAGTAGTTCCTGTTATATATAATGGGAGAGAAGGATCAGGTTAAAATTTGGAGAATTAAAATATGGTATCGCTATGTACTTTCCAAAAATTACTTTCTCTACAAAAGCATGTTGAGGATGAGGAGAGATTCTAGCCAGCTTTGTTCATGTGAAGTGAATAATTCCTTCTATGCTTTTATTCCTGAGAGTGGTTTTTTACTTGCTGCATGACTTTTTGCTATAGATGTAATACTTTCACAGTGAAAGCGTGTCCCTTTTAAGAACACACTGTACAACAAGACCAGTGTCAGAGATAAAGGAAAAGACACACCAAAAAATCCTTATAGTAAGAAATAGAGATAGCATTTTGTTGTCAGGATTAAGGGACAAGACAAAACACTTTTTTCTTTAAAATACACATCACTCACTTGAGTTTCCCCTTAGGGCCAAAAGCAGATTTTGAAATAGTTATAATAAAAAAGCCTTCAGGAAGAAAACTGAAAATGAAAAGAGTGGGTTTTGAGAATAATAGATGAGTGCTTTCTTTTTAATAATCTTGTTGTCATCACTTACCCTTAGTGAAGGCAACCATCCCATGGCAGTAATGCAAAGACAGATAAATGTCAAATCTTCTTATTGGTAGTGTCTTTTACCATTTTAATCTCTTTTCTAGAATTGGTTTTATTTATTTGTCATATGGAGAGAATGAAACTGTTTCTTTATCTGTGAAATTCTCCCTTACACTTGTGCTCTAGTATTGGCTATCTGAAATATGAAGAGTTT